CTGTAATTAAAAAAAATATATATAAATAATACTTCTGCTTTGTGCATAAACACTATAATATTTTGCTACCCTATAAAAGGAAGGAAAAGAATGAAGCAAGTTAGTTATCATGTTTTTAAAATATTAAAAAGAAATACAGCTCATCACTCTCTTTAAAGTTCTGCATCTGTTTCAAATGTACAATATAAAGAATTAAAGATAAAACAGGAAAAATCATATTTATCATTCTCCCACAGAATAGACTGCTTTTGGCATAGTAAATTTCAGATCAAAAGATTAAGCAAATGCAGGTACTATGCTCATATGGAAAGATTGGTTTAGATTGTACCAAAGTGAGTGTTTCCATCTGAATCCTCTCCTTCCAGGCTAATGTAGCAAAACAACTTGTTAGACAAAATGTGTCTGAAATTCTTTACCTTCCCTTAAAATATCTACAGTAACAATAATTTTAAAAACCTCACTTGGCTAAAGCAAATATAGTGTAGCATGGGCAGATAAAACAGCTGGTCTTGAACAGGACATGATCTTGATTGTTCAACTTGTCACCCACATCAGTATTCAGAGATTCATGCATGCTACAGTATATCATTATTCAGCCTATGTAAATGAAGTGCAGCAGGAGAGAGCATCTAAAACCTGAAGATATTGAAAGAATAAAAGATGGCATTTGTACATCTTAAAAAGTTTATCAAAATGTCTTCAAAGAGTATTTGCCTATAAATCCTACCTTTCCTCCTCTTTAAACAAGTTTCAAACTGATACAACCTCATTAATGTCAACAAATTTATTCCTTATTGACTTATTGCTGTGAGAGAAGAATAACACCAAAGATAAAAATTCAATATTTATATGTATTTTTCGTAGCTTTTGTTTTCAGGGTACATTTTACAAATGTGTCGGAAAGTTTTAATGCACCATCTGTTTCACTATATTGAATTAATATGATGTTTTATCTTACAAAAACAGATTTTTAGTAGCCTACTGATATCCATTCACGCAGGTTTTGTGGACTAGATATGTAGGAGTAACATGTCTCAATTTGTCAGTTCTTTCACCAAAATGCTATCTAAAATCAGCAACAAGTCAATATAAAACACAATTAAAATTTTATTAGCAACATTCTCATGTTACTGCCTCATTATAAAGTCAAGCTTACTAAAAAGTCAAGCTAATGACAAGCAAAAATCCATGCCCTATAAATAAGCTTTTTCTAGTCTTACCCATTTTAGATATTTCCAGTTGTTATGATAGCATCAAAATAAAATATTTGAAAATCCAGCATACTATAAAGTTAAGAAACATTTATATTTTCCACTTATATAATATGTACATTAAAAATTATAACAAACCAAATTGTATTTTGCACTGTTGTTTTATAAAATAGACAGAATTTTTAACTTCTTTAGAATTTCAAGTTCACCGACATCAAACCAAAAGATGTTCTATGGAATAAATAAGAAATTATTAGGTGCTAACTTACTCTAAAGGTAACATAAAAGTATGGTATTGAAAAACATTTAGCCCACTTATATACTAAATAATCCTATAAAACCACACACATCTCAATATGTGTATATACATATTTTTGTACACACACACACAAGTATTGAAATGTTTTATATATGTATTTATAGACAGACTCATTTTTAAGTCAGGACACCTCAGTCATTTTAAAATGTCATTCAAACTATTAGGTGATGTTGAGGTGCTGTTTTCCAGTTTTCCTATCAGAAAAATAAGGAAACCATTCTTAAGATTTAATTAGGTATTTGGGATCTAGACACAAAACGTATTAACTAATTGCTACATATAAGAAAAGTTCAGATTTTTGTTAAATATATATATTCTAGGGGTTTTGTTTGTTTGGTTTGGTTTGTTGTTTTTTGTTGTGTCTTTTTTTTTTTTTTTTTCAATTAACAAAAAATGCAAGTTTGTATAAAAACAGAGTCACCCAGGAAAACAAAATAAAACTGCAAATCTTTTATTGCATGGCACAGCTTTCATGATCACGGATTTGTGCCACATACTATAGAAAACCTTTACCTGACTCCACTGATTTAGAACATACTAGCAGCTTCTTTGGGAGATTTTGACACGTGTGATTTGCCAGATCCTGCTTGGTTTCATAACCAACATGCACAGTTCTGACCAAGTTAGGCATAAGTGCTTATGGAAGTTTAAGAGAAAACCTAAGAACATTAGAAGGCATGAAAATATTCTCTGATAACCATATATGTGATTGCAGAAATAACCAGAATATTTAATTTTAGGGCAGCATCGTAGCACATATAATATCATAGCTACACATGCCACATATGAAAATTCAGTTTACTGTAATACGGCTAGGATTACTCTAAAGGATTGGTGTAGTAAAATAAAACAATGGTTTAATTCATCCACAAAATTAAGAATGTAATGTTCTGTATGTAAAAAGAAAGAGTTTCTCAGTAAGAAACTACCACTTTTCTCACTTGACATCACAAAAGTTCATTTGGTTTACCACCAACAGCTCTGGTTGTTTGACAAAATTATCTGTCCAGTCAGAGGAAAGATAAAGAATGATCTCCTCCTCCATATCCATCCACTGCCACCTTGACTAGAAATTTTTTGTACTTAGCCATACAAACAACACAAAAATTACAATGCATTCCGGAAAATCTTGGATTTGCTGGATTGTTATAAGTTTGACTGCTTCTGAGATAAATAAGAATAAGCTTCTCTAAATATTTACTTCAGAAACATCAGATTGTGTGTTTTAACTGACAACTCTCTTAAATTATTTTAGTATAGGAATATACCCCTAATTTCAAATATAAACATTGTCAGGATGAATATTTCACCTATTAACATATAGGGCAACTTTTAAAAATATATATGATCTAAAAAATTAGACAATATGCACAATCTCTTTTATACTATGATGTCACAGAAAAAATCATATTCCAATCAAAATTGAGTTTTAACAGAACATTAATATATCAGTATGCATTTACTTAAAACAGAAGTAAAACCTGCTCTTCCTGAAATGGATGACATTTTCATTATTTTGAGACATTCAACTGTAACATTCCTGTATTTGTGCCAAATTTTATTTAAAATTTAGATAATTACTTTTAAAAGCAAAACATTTAAAACATACATATGTATATATTTTATTTCGGTCATATTAATCTTGCCACTAATTTGTAATTCTCCATCTGTTTACTGCATTCACTTAATTTTCCCTGGTTTATACATTGGAATATCAGCTCTTTAGGGCAAACATTGGTTGTGTTGTATGTATCTAACATATTAGGCCACAGCCCTCTAGGTGCCAGTACAAGTGAAATAACGCAGACACAAAATCCATGCTTTTTTTCTTTTCTTTTCTGTTGAAGCCTAAAATCCATGAAGTCACCAAGTTACAAAGGATAAAATTATACAATAAAATTCTTGGTCTCAACTCCTATTACACAAACAGAAATTGAAAACGCAAAGATTACATATTTGTCTTTGTTACCTGCACCACCACTATTTTTTGAAGTACTTAACTCCCTGCCCGTCAGGGAAATTTGACAGTGCTTTTACTTCCCTTTTACAGATAAGTTCAGAAACTGATTTGGATGCAGAAGTGAGGAACCTAGCTACTACCCAAAATAAGTGCTCTGAGCTATTCAATAGAGATACCTTCAACTATGCAGGAAAGTTAGGCTTCCAGGTGTGCGTGTATGCTCCTGGTTGTATTGAAATTTGTGCTACAAAACGGAGAGTAACTAAAGGAGTTACGAACATAAGTTTAATATATATATGCAATTTATTTTTTTTTCAAATGCTATAGGACGAAAAATATGGAAGGAACTCAACCTTTATTTCATACCAGATAGATTTTATAAAGAATAAAGGTTGCAATTATGAGATTTGCTTACTCACAGAGCAAATTAATTACTTCCACAGGCATCACTCTCATCCTACTTGCATTAGCATACGCAAGGTCAAAATCAGGCTCAGTGAGTATAATAATTTTCCCTTGAAAAGGAATCAAACTATAACAAAAATAAAAGAAACAAAGTAATTTTACTGATATATTTTCATTAATACATTATTATGTCTTTAAAAGCCTTGACAAAGGTGCAACAGTCCAAGAAACTGCGGTGCTTAAGAAGGGCTCAAACTGGAAAGCAGCTTGCATCAGAAGAGGATGTTCAGTACTTGAAGGATCTCAGCCATTATGTCCAGAGGACACAATTCAAACTGCTTTAACTTAGCACTAGTGGCTCATATTCACCCTTTTGCACGCTGCAAAATCCTGGACTCCTAAACTCTGTATCAGCTAATTGCGCAACCCTCCTCCATTTGACACCTCATTTGCATAACCCCATGCACCTATCATGTCAGCATCACCTACAAGTCCTCTGATTTACCAAAGTCCTGGGTCAGTTCTGGGAGCTGAACAGCATCTAATGTGGAATGACAGATGTTCAGTGATTATGCTACATCACTTCTCATCCTCTCCCTTATGCTGCAAGGAGATAATCTGCACCGAGCAGCTATGAGTGTGTATCAACGCACACAAAATATCTTCTTGGGAAGCAGAACTATGACCAAACCTGCACTGCTACCCACACTGACACCTCATTCCCACTCCTCTTGTGTAAACACCCCCAACTACCTACAGCAAGGCTCCCAACCTTTTCACTTCTCTGTTACCTTATTTCCTTGCCCTTCTTCTCTCTGATGGCATGTGCTCTGTTATATTCTCAGAGTCTTGTGAGGTGCTATTTGTGGTTGCCATACCCCCCCACCTCCAGTGTGACCCAGCTCATACATGGTATGAGTAAATACCTGGCAAATGTAGTGGGTAGATGAAATACATGCTGACTGGCTAGATAGTAAGAATTAGCACTTGATGTGGCTGTTATGCCAGTAACTGCAGGTAAGAGGGCCAAAAAACATGGGTTTAAGTTTAAACCTTCACATGGTGGCGTGAAACATGCTTGCATGAAATTACACCAGAGAAGAAA